TATATCTGTATTTTATACGTTAAGTGATTAGTTTAGTCCAGTTTACCACAGTATTACCCTAAGAGATCACACTGAAATATTTATATATAGTAACAGCTAAATTATCTTCTGAAGTACTTTTTGCCGAGGCAGCCCCCATCACTGCATTCTTTATTTCCAGATGTGTTTCCTCATGTTTTCTGATATTAAAAATGCAATTTATTGGACTGGAATGATTTAATTGGGCATATCAGATGATTTTGTAACCAATCGGCTATGTGAATTATCCACTCATCTGCTAAGCTACAGATTTTACTAGTAAAGATCTTGCCTCATCCAGGCAATTGATAAAGATACCAAATCGGATCAGAGCAAGAACTCATCTCCAGAATACTCTGTCTGGGTCCCTGATGTCTCCTCTTCACAACCAGTTTTCGAGAGATCTCTCATGGCAAAGATACTTAATCCATCTAAGGAGTGTTCTATGCACTCCAAACAACGTGCATTCCAGCACATAAAGAACAAGGTTTAAACAGATGTCAGGACTATTTCTCTTTTCGTTTTTGAGATTTACTCAGGACAGTTCTACAAGGTTTTCACTAAGCTTCTGCTTGTTTTTCAGCTTTCTCCAAGACAGATTCTAACCTGACAGCCAGTTCATTAAAATAAAGTGGACACAGAATCACAGCCTGCTTGGGATGAGAGTATTCAAGTTTGACAAACAATGGGAGCTATACACAGATCCTCTAGAACAGGGTCTAAAAGGGACAACAATAACCAAGCTGTTTTAGGCAGAACAAAAAGTAGACACAAGAATAGAAGGAAGAGTCTGAATGGCCACCAAAACCAGTATTCACAAGTCCTTTCAGCAGACTGGTTTTGTGAAACCTCTTAAAAGGTTTTTTAAATGACTCTAAGGTTATTCTAACTTCCCATATGTATTAAAAATAACAAAAAGTCATTAAAAACCACCATTAAGTTTAAAGCTTATGGACAATTTTTCTTCCCGTGGACATTGCTGCTACTGAAAATATGCAGATTTATCTTCTGAGGATTTTTAATGGGTATCAAGCATAGAAGGTAAATAATCTTTGGTCACAGTGATGAGTCTATACTTGGAGCCTCAAACAGAGTGATAGAAAGAACAATACGTTACAATTAATGTGCATGCATTTTACCTATTTCAATGTAATGGAGATTTGTATAATTTGTCTACTTATTCATCAGATGACTTTGGAATAGTGACTCTGTGCCTGAAAGCATAAATACATTTTAGGTTTATATGTACCAAGGTAATAACTACAATCTATTATTGCATTTCAGAAGCAATAGTACAAAGAATGATGATCATATACTCACCCAGTAATTTTCATCAGCAGATCTCAACAGACCTTGTGAAGGTCAATGTGATCATCCCACTGATGATGATGGAGAAAGAAAGCATTGAGATGAACTCGCTCAATGTCATGTGCCAGAGCAGTGGTAAAGCTGACACTTGACTTCAGGTTTTTGGCATCCAGGATGAAAGGTTTTGCCTCGCAAGCCACGGTACACATCCATATACCCCCGGGAGTTCTTTTAATTAGTGTTTTGTATCTTTTGTGTGCCGTGTTTATCAGTGTTAGAACCTAGAAGAGCACTCAAGGCTTTTATGGTGTTTCCTTATAGGCTTCACCATGAGAGATTTTGTAATTTACAGGGTTCCACTGAAACCCTCTATTGCCACCTGTGAAGAAAAAATCAGAAATTTTCATATCTTGTCTGAAAAACCCACAAGTAAGTTAATATTTAATTGTGACAAAAAAGTGGCATGGATCCAATCTCAGCCTAAATCTGCAGATCTAGGTAAAATTACTAAATGTTTGATTATCAGTTCTGATTGTGCTGTGCTTAATAACTTGACATTGTCACTTGTAGCAAATTTGACATTGTCACTTGTATTTTCCTCAATCCTCAGGAAAGCTGTCCTGGCTGGAATTTAGCCCATTGCAAGCTCAGAGCTCAGTGACTTTGGGGCCCTCCTGGAAGTGGAGTCTGTGCTGAAGGTGGTCATGGGAACAGCAGTCCACAGAGCAGCCTTGATCTAGAAGGGTCAGGAGCTACAAACTGGCTTGTTCTAGAGGGGCTGGGAGTTACTTCCAAACTTGCCAAGTGTCAACAGTCCAGTCCTGGGTGTATCCGTCCTTGGAGGTGTGAGCCCTGTGCACCTCAGATCAAGCATTTTAGGTTATTATTTCACACCTTCATAGAATAATAAAATCATCACAGTTGGAAGAGACCTTTAAGATCATCGAATCAGTGTGGCACTACCACTGTAACCTCTAAATCACATCACCCAGCGCCAGGTCTTAAATACCTGCACGGATGGTGACTCCACCAGGGGAAGGTATGTGGATCCCGAGGAAGGGGTGATGTGATTTAGAGGTTACAGTGGTAGTGCC